TTTCAGAAGTACAAAATGCTAAACTTTCAGCTCTTTTGAATCACATCCATTTGCACAGTCTTTTATTCATTCAACGTCATACTTTCGTTTGTTTTCTTTAACCTGATGTTATAAATCTGATTAGAAATTAACCTAATGAAGGAGAATGAGTCTTAGTAGTCATAACTTATGTATTTCATTACAACTGACCAAGCTTCACTAGCCATGAACACTGTTCGTCCTGCTTCTTACCCTTCCCTTTTTCCCTCTTTTTTTAGCACCCTCGCGGTGTACCAGTGAAAGCTTTTATGGAACATATGATTTCGTCCAGCCCCGTCACTAATACTTCTGAAATTTATCTAGGATCACTACCAGGAAGCACAAAATAGTATGTTAAAATTGATGTCATTGACTGACTGCTCTGGACTTTAATTTCTCGACCGCCAGTTGTTTGTCTCAAAGTAATCCCCACAAAGTGCGCCGACTCTCATATTGAAAATTACAGTCTATCAACATTGATATTTTAGTGTATGAAGATTTGTCCTCTGTTTATATAACCATTATATCTTACAAAATATAAACCTTATTGTGAAAGCAAAGCCCGTGACATTTGTAACATGTTCTGTGTGATAAAAATACAGTGAATAGCTGATACATTTATTGTGCAATTAAATATTTAACATTGTATTTCAATCTGTTATAAATACACAATAAAATTTCGAGTTCCTTAATTCAAATTCCAGTTCTTGCTTTTGTTTTGTCGAAGTTTCAAACTTGCTGGGACAAACAGTAATTTATCACATGCACCTTATTGACATACCAATGATTTCATCTTATCGCCCACTGGTAATTGATATATTCCTACACTTTCTCAATTCCGTTCAACATTTGTCTGCCACGATACTTTTCTAAGTGTTTATACTTTGTCTGGAAACTCATTATTTATACTAAAGTCATTTAAAGCATTGCATCGATACCATACCCACAGTCCATAGTTTGAAACCACAATTTGTAATCCATAATTTTTAACATATTACCTATATAAATAGTGTTTTTCGGTAGAATATGAAAAAAAACATGTAGGACATAACATTTTGTATAAAAGTTACCTTAAAAAGCTTAACGTGAAGTTATGAAGGAGGTCGGAGTTACTGACAAGCAAGCGCATTGGTTGTGAGGGCAAAAACTTCAATTTTTGTATCCCGAAGAGAATTGTGAATGGTAACTTTTGAGGACTATTTATGGACCAATGTAATATGTATATTTCCTACTGTATAATTGTTAAGTAACTAATTTAATCGTATTCGTTTTCCTCTTATCTTCAGCTTTATTTTGACCTTTGAACTATTATTATATGATTCTTGCGTTATCCCCAGTCTATTAATTACTGTTCCCCACATTCACAGCTACTTTTGGCTGAATCTTGTACAAATGTTATTTTCTATTTTATGATACAATGTGGTCAGTTTGATTGGTATATGATCTCAGTATGTTTGAAATATAATGATTCACACCCCTGGGGCTGAGATTGGTGTTCTGGACTTAACTGGCTGGCTAGGCAGAAAGCAGGACTGACAAGTAATCAAGACTTCTCACACGGCTTTTGTGTATCATTGGACGATCAATAAATTCACAGTTCTCTGATTGGCGGTCTTGTAACGTTCATATATTAACAGGGCACGTACGCACTCACACTATATAACATCAATTCACCCATATATGTGGGGTATAACACTTAGTTTCCCTTAGGCCCTTTGTAGTTAAGGTTAGAAAAACCAATCAGGGATACCGAGGTTGTTCTCCTACAGCTACTACTGAAGCTCAATTTTCCAATTTTATGCTGGATTCGCCATTCCACTTAGATAACCCATTACAATCTAACTCAGACTCATAAATTAAGACCCGGTGGCTGGCATTAGATAAAAGATGAGAATATCAAAGAGAACATGGGTAGTAAAAGACGTATTCACCAGCGTTTCTAAACACCTTACTCTCTTTCGTTACACTTTTGCTCCTAATGGATTATAACTTCAACGTTCTCTTAATCATTCGGACCTATTCAACCTTGTTACACATCACAATTCACAGCCCGTAATCATTGTATTCTCTTATCTAAAGACGTTTTAACTACAATTCATTTTAGTAATAGAAGCAGGTATGAGTTTTATCGACTAAATTATCATACATTTGACAGCACGAAATAAAAACTAGTTTGGGATTAAAACAACAAATTTCGCGTTCCAAAGACCTCGAGCGACTCGCCTCATGGCAGTCAATTCATATTTGAAGTCCCCCCATGTTAATGGCTTGCAGTACTACCTTGTTAACGCTTGTCAAAAACGTTATATTGCTATTGTAAGAGCTGACAAGGGAAACACCACTGTTATTATGAATAATTGTGATTATGAAAGAAAAGTCAATGAACATCTCTACACTAGACCGTATGAAAAAGTCAAGAATAACAAATGTAGAGCAACTTTGAATAAGTTGACAGCGGAAATGCTACAGTTTTTAAAATCCAAACTAGGACCATCTCTATGGTTTTCTCTATATCCAAAAAGCAACAAACCATGTAGATTTTATGAACTACCAAAAATACATAAAACAGATGTCCCAATAAGACCTGTGGTTGATTATACAAATTCATCAACCTACAATCGTTCCAGATACCTAGCTAAGATTCTTAAACCATATGAAAGCGTAATCAAATATGGAATAAAAAATTCCAATGAGTTCAAAGACATTATCACTGATATTCACATAGAAGATGAAATAATGACAAGTTTTGATGTATGCTAATTATTCACTAATGTTCCAGTTAGGAAAGCTTTAGATATTATATATAATCTCTTAGATTCTGACAATGAACTTAAACAACGCTGTTCTCTAGTTACTTCGGTTATTATTAAAGCGTTAGATTGTAGCATCAGTTTATATGTTAAACCCATATACTTCATTCTAGTTACTGGCCAAGCCAAATAACCTATTTCATTGATGACCCTGGTATTAAAACTGTGGAAAATGCTTCACTCTGGAGTTGGCTTCCCAGCCATCTCCAATGCTCATTATTTTCGCTTCGCTCTCGAGTTGGCTTCCCAGCCACCTCCAATACGCATTATTTTTGCTTCACTCTCGAGTTGGCTTCCCAGCCACCTCCAATACGCATTATTTTTGCTTCACTCTCGAGTTGGCTTCCCAGCCACCTCCACTCTCCATGTCATTTTTGCATCGTTCCGCTCTCATCTTTTGGCTTCATCACTCTGATTCCTTGGCCAGTAACTAGAATGAAGTATATGGGCTAAACATATAAACTGATACTAGAAGATCTATGTTTACATTCAACTGCTTTTAGTATTCGAGATGATTTATACAGACAAACAGAAAGTGTAGCTATGGGATCACCAGTTTCACCAATTGTCGCTAACCTATTCATGCATACATTGGAAACTAGTGCAATATCAACGTGTTCTCATCCACCAAAAGTTTGGTTAAGATACGTTGATGACACTTTTGTCATTATAAAACGGGATCGTTTAGACGAACTTAATAAACATGTCAACAACATTGATGAAAAAATCAAGTTCACCAAGGAGTTGGTATCTCCTGAACACAAATTACCTTTTCTAGACTGTTTGGTTGAAAGGAAATGTAATGATTATTATTAGTATTTTCCGAAAGCCGACATATTCAGGTAAATTTCTAGACTTTAAGTCGGCTCATCCACATTCGATCAAAGTGACAGTGACCAAAAATATGATCACAAGAGCTCAAAAACTTGTCCCTGAACTAAATGGTATGGAAATAAAAATGAATTTAATTACATCCACTCTAATGACGAACAATTATCGGAAGGATTTTATAGAAAGAATAATTAAGAACGAAAGAAAAAACGGCATTATTAATTTTTTTTTAAAAGATTAAAGAAAAAGAAATGGGTTAACACAGTGGTGATCCCAAATCGTAAAGGAATTTCAAAAGAGATCAGGAGAATCCTAAATTTTCAAAATATAAGAGTATTTTTTCGAACAAACATTACTCTAAGATAAAAACTAGTAAGAATCAAAGATCCTATATACGAAGAAAAACAACAGAATTGTGTCTATGAAATCAGATGTAGTTACTGTAATTCAACGTATGTAGGTGAAACATCAAGGTAACTGAATGTCAGGGTGAAGAAACACAAACAATGCTTAAAGCACATTTCTGAGTTCTCAGATGATGTAAGGAAACTTGAGAACAAGTCGGAGATAGCATTACACTCGATAGAATCGGGTCATACAATCGATTTTAATGGCACAAGAATCCTTCAAAAAGCTTTTAATTCTTACAAGGAGAGACAAACAGCTAAAGCCCTATACATATGGGCTAATCCAAACAGTATTAATAGGAGAGATGGAATACAATTAGCTGTGCAATGGCAGCTAATCATTAATAAGTAAAAACATGAACTCCTTTCCGTTTTATCTATCACGTATTATCCAAGTGATAACAATTACATTCATCAATCATTCTAATCAGTTATCTTATCGGAATTTGTTAAAAAATTAATTGGAACATTAAAAATAACACAAATATTCCTTTTCAAATTATACACGCTATGACATATATGATTCATCTCATATATTAAAAATTGTATGTTTTCCTCAAAACTCACCGACAGGAGTCAATATATGGTGAATGAAATTTCTCATCTCACCACCTATCTTAACACACTTTTCATTTCATATCACAAGTCTCTTACACATTAATACATATACCTAGTTTAAACATTTTTAACGTTGATTGAATGATCTATTCAGTTTACAATGAACCAAAGCACCATGTACCTATTTATATTCGATAATGTTGACGTTTGATTATAATTCCTTGAAAAAGCTTGGAACAGATTGCCAGGCGAAACGTCGGATTTACTTCAAATTCATTCGCTGAGATTTTACAAATATTATTATTTCTATATAAGGCGAATATTGTTTTAGAATTAATGTAAAAAAATTGTGATTGGTGGATAAACAAGACATAGCCATACAAGGTCAAAGAAAGTTGGTGTGGTGGTGAGTGTTTCACCTCGGTGTGTTCGTTTATCGATCTCACATTACACCTTCATCTTCAGTGTTCTACAAATAGAAGGAACATTTAACTATCAATGTAGTAACCACAATGTCAAATTTTCCATATTATTGGTGAACAGACAAATTCTTAGTGTGACAATGATCATTGAACCTGTGTTTGCACATTTCCAAAGCCTGTAGTGCAACGTGAAATTTACACAAGACGCGAAAGGCAATGTAAAAATATTTACTAAATTAAAAATAACCTTCATATCGGTAAATAATTCTGGAACTAGTTTAAAAAATTCGTGTAATAAACAATAATTTAAAGATGAAACTTTTACAAATATAATAATCATAATACATTTAAACTCTATTAAGCTTACATTTTCTTCGGATCGCCAACCACGTTCACTTATTTTATCTCTTGTGCCATGCAAGAAAGACTGACTTGCTACACCTATTTATTGCGCCATTCAGGTTTCCGAACGGGTTTCACCTTTGAACCGTGAACACAGAAAACCTAGCGAGAATTGTTGACCGTGATCTTGACTAACTACAAAATTTACTGTAGAACCGGGAGTCAACCATACCCATTTTGATTTAATTTGATGTAAGGCATAAATAATAGCCAGTTCAGGCTTCAACATGTAAGCTAAAAACGCACTTTTGGACTTCTGAAGATCATCACAAGTGATCTCGGACAATTCCACCAACTAAACTTTTATAACCAGCTGTCACAACTTGCGAACTGATCACGGATTTATTGTATTTCCAAGCGCCTTCCAGAGTATGGTCTATATATAGGCCGATATAAGTCCTTACAATTAGGACTGAAGGTTGAAGCAGCGAACTGTGGAGTTGACTGATTTGACATCAGTTCCCAGAGTAGAAACTATGATAACGAACAAAAAGCCCAATTGTCGCGTTTTTGGCCGGTGACACAAAGGGTCACCCGTTTCTTCTCGACAATGCACAGGCAAGAACTTTGTCAAATAGTAAGTATGGTGAGCGGCATTTCTTCATATATCACTTTACTACTGTTCTACATGACTTATTAATGTGAAAACACATAGGATTGTCGGTAAAACACAATCACATATGTCCTGAAAAGTGCTATTTGTGTGATCACACTATAGCCTACATCAAGGGCTGAAAAATGAAGAAAGATATCTAATATTCATCCCTCTAAAGAACCACTAATCAAGCAACTTCATCATGAACTATTAACCCAATATATCAGTAGAAACTAATTCAAGTATAGAAACTATCAAACCGATCAACCTACTACGGATAATAGTTATATCAGAAACTACATCGAGATTATTGAAGTCCATTGTAATAGCTGTTGCCCTCAAACCAGAAAAATCACTTCAATCAATTGTATGCAAACCAAAGGATGAAGCGACAGAAGCACCGAACACAATTTACAAAATGAACATACAATTGAAGAATATTCTATATCAGACAAAGTGGACGCCCCATCTGCTATAAGAGATGGTTTAAATATGATGTAAAAACTTTCGAAGCTGTTTTAACTACGGCAATATATATATATATATATATATATATATATATATATATCACTTCCTTTCGATTGAGTTGTTCAACTATGCAAACGATTGATAAATATTATGTTCTGTATAAAACAGAATAATATAAATAGCTTTATTTTCTGCTATCATACAGTGCGAGACAGAGGACGGAAGGAAGGAAGATACGTATAATGGGAAAGAATTGATTATTGAATACAAGTAAATGAGAGTTGTGAGCGGTCGGAGAGACAGTTCAGCCAGCAGGAATGCAACCAGAATAGATTAATTCAGTTAGGGATGATCTCGCTTCTATGAGGAAAGTAAACCGGATTACAACAGGATTGCTACTGACTTCAACTCTGACCCGTGTACAATAACATCTCAAGCCAGTGTTGCAGTCTCCAGGACACGAACCATCTAGTCGTGAAGGACCGACGAATACTAGTCACGTACTGCGACATCAAGTCACAAACTGACCATCCGCTATTCTCGGCCAGTTTCAGCTCCGAGAAATATAATATAGAGTGGAATTATGTGGGAGGACATTTTTTAACACATGCTCAAGCCATCGAAGACTGCACTCTGATATGGCGATACCGAATGAATCACCATCACTGTGCTCTGAGTACGCGTTGCCGAAATTCCACATAACTAACTTGACGTTGTCAGTAAGTATCAGTGATCCTTAAGAAATAACGATGATCGAATACGGAGATGCGCTTAGTATCCTCAACTCAGAGTCTAGTTTTCAATTAATCGTACTAGCTTCTCCTTTCGTCGCGTTCATACACGAACTAGATAACATCGTTTTGTCTGCATGAACGGGTCAGATTTTCATTCGTTTCTCTTGCTTTCATTATACGATGTTATTTCCACACCAAAGTTTGAAAAGTGTTCTAAAGGTTACAGCTGCATACCACCTTTACTTACATCAATAAGAGCTATATTCACAACGTCAAGAGTAATAAATTTGATTGGTAATCGTCAGATTGGCAATCATACCAATAGAACTCCAGAAACTTCATTCCAGGAAATCTCACACGTAGAGCTTGGCTCAAAGCCAGTGTGTAATTATTCGTACTCAGTTGATGAATTAATTGTGATAAATGCATATATATATATATATATATATCACTTCCTTTCGATTGAGTTGTTCAACTTTTTAAAGGATTGATAAATATTATGTTCTGTATAAAACAGAATAATATAAATAGCTTTATTTTCTGCTATCTGGATTGTCTACGTATCCTGTAAACACGTGGGTTTGATTAAAAATACACCGATGTTCTTTCAGCACAAATGAATAACTGATTCAAAACAATTATTTTTGGTTGGAAAAAATTAGTAGCTCTAGTTTTGTTGTATGACATAGATAATTCCCTTTTTTTAAATTTCAAATTAAGTAAACATTGGCTAGAATTTTAATAGTAATATAATGATGTATTTATAATATTTCAATGAAAAGAAATTCAAAATGGTGACGTTATGTGACTTAGTGTAATCGAATTTTTTTGGAGTAAATAACTAACCGAATCAAATTAACAAAGTTTGGATGGTATAAAGGAATAAGGAAGAATATTGAGTTCAATCAAAATCAACTGAACGTTTTAGAACAGATCATGAAGATTGTGTACTCGTAGCACAGTTCTATTGCATGAAGCTAATTATCAACTCTGACATATCTGCACGGATACTTTGTCATTTATTCAATAACCGTACATTAATAGTATCTCATCTTCAAACCAACGTTGTAAATTATTGATCATGCATATGAAAATGGCATGTACCTGCTATGTCAAAAATATATTATCATTTCAAATTCACGTGTGTCATCACAGTACATATAGATTCAAATAACCTATGAAAACTGACTGTAAACACGTCACCACAGGTAGTTGGTGTTTATTTGATGTTTTGACTCTGTGATGGTATTTGAAGGAGGATTTTTGCGCGAACGTTCGAGCTACGACGTGAAAGCGACTGAGCATCCTATTGTGTCTTATTTAGTTGCTGAATGGAACTCTTAATCGACTGATTGTTTTTATAGGAATTAATTGTAGCTCTTAGAAATTAACTATAAGATGTTCTTCATTTGGAACTTCCTCTTAGTTTTCCGAATGGTTAGTAGAAAAACCGTTACAGACACTGAATTATTAGGATATATTTATAATTTAATTAGAGGTTATTGGACATAGCATTTACTTCGATCAGCAATTTAATTTGTAGATTTTCGCCGTACAGGATTATTAGGTCTTTCTGTGTAGCTCAAGTATTTCTTGGGACGAGTCGAGATTTCACGAGAAACGTATCGGTTTTCAGCATATAGTTAAATTCAGATTTCCGTCAGAGTTCCTTTTAACCAAACAGTCTTAAAATGGTAATTCACTATGTTTATCATCCTTTTCGAAAGTGAATCTGATGTGATTTGAGAGCGTTTGTTAGTTTCGAGAAATTTCCACGTATTTTTAGTAGTGACAAACGCATCATCTGCATAATTGAGCCAGATGCGCAGTACTGGGAAAATTACGCCACTCAATATGGGTTGTGAATAAGTTAAGAACAACCGGAAACACTATATGTTACGCGACCGCTGATCAGTCTTTGTTGACATATGTGCATCTTATATGGATCGCTTCGATATGGCAACTTTTAACAGATTCAATGAGACATGGATCTGTCAAAGGTACTTGACAGGTGATCCTTGGTCTAGACTTCATTCTATTTTGCACTCTTCAGTAAGGTCCATATGCGATTTCGAGAGAACTGATGCTATCTGGCGGATGCGACCCTGTGCCGCCCAGCTTTAGAGTTTGGGACGGTAACACTGAGTTATTGGGGCCTTGAATGACTTGTGGGGTTGAGACTGAGTAGATATGAGGAAATGAAAGCTTACATGGAATAACAGTGAATTTAGGACATTTAAGAAACCTTTTAGCGTAAAAGTAGAGAGACAGGTATTTGTGTTATTCATTAAGCCTAAACGTTTGACAACTATTTTTATCATCAATGCGTTCGGTTTCTCCGTCTACATTTATTTTGAGGAAGGATCTTGTTAACTACTTTGTTCTTGACGGAGTTTACTTATACTATAGTAATAATTTTTCAATCCGCTATCAAGCCTCAAAGAATATCAACGATTATTTTCGGTCTGTGTTTTATAATTCAAAACTATTTTTCTCATCAGAATCTCATAGACCATTGCTATACAGGTGGAAATTTATGTAAATATAATCTAGGTGGCTGCGTATTATGTAAATAACAATTGTATCACATGCTTGAGTCTCCGAGAAGCAGTGCACCTTATATTCATAAAAGTTGTGTGTATTAACTTGTCTCCCTACTTCTCTGTCTGCTACTCATTTCTAACGACATATAGTGCATGCATTACGCTTAGAAATACAAAATAGCTAGATCAAAATTATAGGATTGTACGTTTGTATGAGAAAAATTACTTCAGCAAAACTACTTACTGAGTTCTACATGAGGAAGGTGTTGAAGATGCCCGAGATACCAATGAATGTTCCTCAATCA